CTGCAAGCCCAGCTCAGTGCACAGGCTTTGCGGGATTCTTGCTGAGACAAAAAAACTCCTGTGCACAGGAATTACCTCCTCTGGCCCTGGCCAATATGCATCCAAAGACACAGAACCAAAAAGAAAACTGGGACAAAGATGGAAGTGCTGGCAAGGGAGGAGAGTCCAGACATCGCAGCACTGGAGGGAATCACATTGGCAGGTAAGTCTGTCATAATGTGCTAATATGCTTTGTATTTTAGCACATTATGGCTAAAAGCTCGGAGTTTAACATTTTTAAATCAATTGATATTTTGAAAGACATTTGTCAAGTCCCTGATAGCATTATTGAATGTTCTGATGAGATTTTTCGTATAAACATTCGTACAAAGATCTACCAGTTTAGTGATGATAATGTGTATTCATACTTACAGTGACAATAAACTCAGTAAATAAATCTTAAAAATGCATCCAAGTACCTTAACTATTAACAATACTGGACCTTATTTGTGCATAACTGGGCTGTAGATCCTCAAATCATCTCTGAATTGGTGCTGACACTCCTTCCTTCTAGAGGGTGGCTATTTTTGTTCCTCATGGTCCCTGTGTGTGTGGTAAAGTTGTCATCACTCTAAGCTCGCTCTCGTGATGGAGTACAATCACAATAAAAATCAGTAAACTAAATGTTATATTGTAGTCCACCACTGGAGTAAGCTTGGAGCGGTGGCTACTTTACAACACACACAAGGACCATGGAAAACAAAAGTAGCCACTCTCCATAAGGAAGGACAGTGCCAGCAAAAAATCAGAGATGATTTGAGGATCTACAGCCCAGTGATGCACAAATAATGTCCAGTAATGTTAATAGTTAAGGTATTTGGATGCATTCTTAAGATTTAACGCCTGAGTTTAGTGTCCCTTTAACCCTCAGGGGTGACTGGAACAATGTTTGGCCAGATAGATATCAAATTGTTGAATGTTGCATAACGTACAGAAAGTATTCTGAAGGCCACTGAAATACACATTTTTCAAACTTGCATTAGGCTAACGTGTAATGAACACCGCGGCCGACTTATATTCCAATGCAGGAAAAAATCAATACTTTTTATGGACAGTTATATTTTTTCATAGACTTTCTGGACAATATTAATTGGCCTGTTTTTATGGACTGTCCGTAAATTTCTGGACAGATAGCTATGCCGCTCCTTTCCTGGACAGCTGTCAATGAGGCTCTCTTTCCTTCCTTAATGTATGTAGACGGTGATGAGCTAACCAGGGGTGGTGCCAGGGGCAGGGAGTGATTTCTGCTGCTGCATGTAGCTGATCTCACCTCTGCATGAAATATACACCATAGAAAAGTCTGTGCATTGTGAACAATTGTAGAATATAAAGTGATAGCACCTACTCTTATTAACAATGGGCAGACATGTCTCACTGTGTGTTACAAAAAAGACAGTGATTAGCCTCGTGCAGTCTTAAGACTAACAGATACAATCGTGGAAAGAGTATGTGTTATGTGTCCTATAACAAAAATTGACAATGGCAATGGCTAACAAATAATCTGCTTGTCAACAGCAGCTCATAGCGATATACTTCCCTGTATTAAAATTGAACTCCGGTCACATTTGTTAAACCAGATATTAGCTTGCACATAGCCTGTGCTGAGAGTAGACGTATGAGATCTAGCAAGTCTGCCCATTACAGGCTGGAAAAGGGGCAGGTATAAGAACGGTCACCCTGCACCAAGTGGAGAGAGCAGCAGTGACCGGTCTTTATTACAGGAAACTCCTGCACAGAGGCAAGGAGTTGTTTAATGATGGATTACTGCATGGAGCTAAATAAATATACAGTTGCAAGGATCATATTTGTTTGCTTTGAAAGGAGGAAAGCATTTTATGCTGAAAAGTG